AAAAAAAGAAACGCATTGCAGTTTACAACGTCGTCCGGATAATCCAAACGAAAGGAATCAAGACGTGCTGGAACTAATGGCACTGGCAAGCAAGTGGCAAGAGCAGGGCAAGACGGATTTGGCAGAATTTGTGTCCAATCGAGGTCCGAGAGTTGTAAACGAAGCTCTAGAGACATCACACGAACTAACCATGGCAGAAAAACGATTGGAGAGAATAAAAAAAACTAGAATACAACTGCTTCAAGAGCATTTGACACAACCGTGCCGAGACAATTGCGAGGGAATATGGCTACGCTCGGCAGCCGAGATATTGAAGGGGAACGGCATACCTGTTTCGATATTCGCTGGTGCTGTCTATGATGCCCTGCTGCGAGGAAGAGGCAAATATAGAAATATCTATATTTATGGCCCTGCTAACCGTGGAAAAACCTTTTTAATTTCGCCTTTGAAAACAATCTATGAGTGCTTGGTTAAAGCGGCAGTGTCACCCGCTGCGCATCCGTTCTGCGCATAACAAACCAATTTTCGGAATATGTCGGAAAAGGTCGAAATCACAACATTCCGACTATAAAAATGTACATATATTCACATTTTCAGCGGCGGAAAAGACCAAATAATTGCTTCATTTCACACAGGTTAACAATTATAGTTGTAAAAGTTCATGTGCCACCAAAAGAAACGAGAACAGTAACCGAGGTTGCCCGCGTAAGGCAAATGCTGCCAGCTGCAAGTGTGGAGAACTCGCAAAACTCCTCAGTCTCCTTGCAAGAATAGGGTATGTGTGCGAATCAAATGTACTTGACGGTATCTTTTATTTGTGTTTGCATATTGTACCACATTATATTTACTGTTCATCCTACTTTGTTGTAGGAGAACGTTTGCGAAAGTACCATGTAGTGCATGTACTTCGTGGCCTCACACAGCGTCCAACTGTCAATACTGAGAAAACGATGATACTGTAAGGTTTGTGAATTTCTAATACATCTTATTAAATTGTTTAAAACGTTTTTAAATGAGGTATATTAAACATGTTTGAAGATGCGGTACAGTCCGTATGCAAACAAAGGCTTTGTTTACATTTCAGTATCCAAAATACTGAATTTTATTGGACGACTGTTTATATTTTCATGATTCTAGAGTATAATAAATTATCAAGACACAACGATCAATCTTTGCAGGAATATAAAATGAAATAAAAACCTAAATAAACTGTTTGTATAATAAAGAGAGGCCTCCTGTGAGCAGATGCACAGATCTGACTGTACTGCATCTTTAAGTTGAATAACTTTGGCTGAAACTGTTGAATGGTGATACCAGGGGCAAAACTAGCCCCCTTTTAATTGGGTGGTGTCTGCTAGAATTTCCCTGCGAAAGTCGATGATGCCCTCCAGCAAAAATTTTTTTGGCCGCTATTTCTCCCAAAAATGTTGGCGAGCGGGGGGCAGGTAGAAAAATTTGTAGGGAGGTCGGTTTCCGGACATTCAAAAAAAGGGGCGAAAACATTTTTCGGACATAAACCAATTCAATTATGTATCAAAATATTTTTTCGGACAAATTCCTGTTAAAACATGCATGAAACCCTTATTTTTTTACCAATATCTGTAAAATTTAGGTCTATAAATTCTATTCAATTCCCTCTGGAAGCCACTGAATAACTCTACATTATATCATTTAAATTTTTTCATTGCCCTGCCAATCCAGATGATTTGCCCTGCCAATCCAGATTATTTGTACTTTTGCCCCCCCCCCCCCTCAAGTTTCATCCCTGGGTGATACAGTATAAAGTCTAATTGGGAAGTGATGGCACAGACTGAAATTTGAAACGGGAAATAATTTCGCAAAGGCAGATTGCCGACCTGTCAGGACATCATGTCAGGGCGGCAGATTAACATGCTGTAGACCTGTTTGCTGATGGCAAATTGTTGCTGATCTGATTTTTCCTATTTCAGATGGCCTGAATATTAGCCAAATGACACATAATTATATATTTATATAAGTGAAATATCCTAACATTTTGTATAATAGCAGACGTGAACCGTGTATCAGGCCATTTTGTTGTTCTCACCAAAAGCTTTGCTTTGATACCAAAGCGAGGCTTTGTGATGGAAACAATAGCATGACTTAAACCCATACAAGACCAATTATCTTGGTTTGATGCTAGAAATTGGTAAAGCTGTTGGATAGTCATTTCATTATTTTATTATAAAATACATTATTAAATTCACAGGCATTTATTCATACACTGGATGAAGACACAGTGAGAAAACTGGCAATTAGAAGCCTAAGAAGAGGAATAAGGAGTACGGATTATGTTCACACATGGGCTCGGCATGGATATTTAGGCAAAGGGAATCTCAGTGTTTGCTCCTCTTGTGTAGTCCTCAAAATAAGACTTTTGACTGGAGTTTATATGTGGTACAGAGAACAATAATATTCATGAACCTTTGGTAAACTTTCTAAAGCAAAGGGAATTTGATTTTAATAATTTATATTCTAATTTATGTACCTTTGTATATAGTAAGTAATAAAGATTTTTTATATTTTGTACAAAATTGGAATGTGTCACTGTTGCATCAGTTATGGCAAAAATCAGTATTTTCGTTTTGGTATGTCCACACCGTTGCTGGTGTGATATATGTTGCTGGTGTGATATATGTGCAACAGTGGGGAGCAATGTTGCATTTAAGGAAACATGGCAGGTGATATAACCATCATCATGCAGTCAATCTGTTGCTCGTTGGATAACCTTTGAAATGAGAACTGGAATGCACTCGAATCCTTTTTCAACTTTCACACTTTTCACATCCCACTGCCTGGTCCTTCTGTTGTTGGAAAGGCTCATGACTTTGTAGTTTGTACAGGTGACTCAACACGAGAAAGGGTTTGTCATCTGACCTTTATTTTTAATGGTGTAGATGTTTGGGGATCTGAAAACAGGAAATATGAAATGTTATACAGCACTAATACCTGTGGTCAATGCTGTAAATTATATAAATATAAACCAATTCTTTTTATAATTTTTTACACAATTTTTCTTTGTCTATATACCTTGCAAAATCGTATTTTGAAACTGAATATTAATATTACTCCCATTACAAAGCACGTCCTATATAAAAGTGAATGTCCTCTTCATACCTTGGCTGATGTTTGCTTGTTCTTCAAACCATATGAAACTCATTGTGTTCTACTTCCGTTGTCAAGACAGGACTCAGTTGCCACCAGAAAGGTCCAGAATCGATGTGCTTGAATTTCGTCGTTGTTTTGGTAGTATTTTTGCAGACGCTGATTCCCCTAAATACAAAGCAAAATAAATTGCACATTAGGCTTGTTTACTCTTCGAAATTCCAATGACAACAGATGTGCAGCAAAGTTAGTGTCATTTGAATGTTCATATCCACCACTTATTTTGGCCTCTTGCCACGTATCAAATGTCTTATCACTTAAATAGATCCTTCTGTGCTCTTTCTCCCATAAATTTCTGTACTCTTTTCGGCTCGAAAACACCTTTTTTCGACCAGCATTTTTCCTTGAACCCCCGTACTGAGTCAGCATGACGCCCCGGGCAGACGCCATATTGAAATTCGATACACTTGAAAAAGTTGGGTGAACTTTTTCAAGTTGATCTATGCGCAGAACGGATGCGCAGCGGGTGACACTGCCGCTTTAATCCTGCCTCGGGCAGTTTTGCGTGGGTTGGCGTAGACCAAGCGGAGGTGGTTTTACTTAATGATCTGAGATGGAAACCTACCCTTATACCATGGTGTGAGTTTTTGCAGGTTTTAGAGGGTGATATCGTGCATTTTCCAGCCCCTAAAAATTTTGTGAGAAAGGATATTGTGTTGGACAAGGACACGCCATTTTTTGCGACTAGTGACGCCCCTCTTACCTTAGTTAATGGGGGAAGTGTCGATCGAGTCAACACTGAAATGATGGAGGTCCGATGGCGTACAGTACTGCTCAGAAGTAATCTAATGAAAAACGCGTTCTGAACGCGTTCGAGAACGCTTTCCGGACGCGTTCTAGAACGCGTTCCAAACGCGTTCGAGAACGCGTTCTAGACGCGTTCGAGAACGCGTTCCAGACGCGTTCACAACGTGTTCCGCGAGACCTTCCGAACGCGTTCTAGAAAGGGTTTCTTTTTCAGAACAATTGAATCGTAATCAGTTCGACAATACTCGGAAATTATCGCGAATTTCCGATTTATAGCATTCCAGAGAAACGCATTTTACAAATTTGGCAAAGCTTTCTTTGTATGCAAGAAAAAGAGTGATTTCCTTAAAATCCGCCGAAAATTCAAACAAAAAAATACAAGAAGTTCTACTTGAGGAAGGAATTAACACTTCAATCACAGCAATTTCGCTCTTTCTTTCGCGATATCGAAAGACTGGTCGCCTCAACGATGCTCGTTGATGTGGCCGAAAGCCGAAATTAAGATAAGAACATGTCGATTACATGGACGAAAAGATGAAGGAAAATGACGAATTGACTTCACGGGAATTGAAAGAAAAGGTTGCCAAAGATTGCGACATGGATGTGTCAACAGCGACAATTCGACGACAAGGCGAAAGTTAGGCTGGAAGAAAGAGAATGCGAGGTATTGCCAGTTCGTACGTGAACCCAACAAGATGAAACGACTGGCTTTCTGTTTGAAGGCCTTAAGTGAGAAGGAAAAGTTCGAAAACATTATCTTCACAGACGAAACCAGCGTGCAAATCGAACAACATGCTAGGATTTGCTTTCGGAAAGATGGAAGTCAACCAAAGCGCAAAGGCCGGCCAAAGCATCCACTGAAGGTTCGTATTTCGCTCAATGTAATGTTGGGTCCTTTGTCGTTTTCTATAAACTACGTATAATGTAAACAATACGAAAAAGAGTATAGGTAGAATATATTATATAAACTGATAAACTTTTTAAAACGGACTGCAAAATAAAGATGCTAAATCCTGAAACACTGTACGCAGACTTCTCTCCTTAGCATTACAAATCAATGGTTTATTGACATGGATAAGGGAAATTTGAATGGTGTTATCTTTCTTGACTTAAAAAAAGCATTCGATTGTGTTGATCATGGTATTCTATTAAGAAAACTTTATAATTATGGAATAAGAGGAAATTCATTTCAATGGTTCCAGTCCTATCTCTCTGATAGAGTACAAATGTGTAAAGTTAACCAAACATTATCTAACAAAAGAATCGTTAAATGTGGTGTGCCACAGGGCTCAAATCTTGGCCCATTATTGTTTTTATTATATATAAACGATCTTCCAAATTGCTTGTCTTCATCGGCTGCTAGCATGTTTGCCGATGATACAAATATTTCTACACATGGCTCATCAGCGGCAGAAATTCAGGAACAACTAAACCATGACTTAGACAACATACACCAATGGTTGCTGGCTAATAAGCTTACTTTGAATAAAGAAAAGACCGAATATATGGTAATTGGGTCTAGACAAAGATTATCTAAAGTATTAAATGAGCCGGAAATCCACGTAGGCGAAACAACAATTAAACGAGTAAGCTATTCTAAAACTCTAGGCGTTGTTATAGATGAGAATCTTACTTGGGAAAGGCAAATCGAAAACATACAGACTAAAATCTCAAAAGGTATCGGCATGTTACGGCGAATGAAAAAAATAATTCCTAAAACAACATTGAAAAAAGTATATAATGCCATTATATTACCACATTTCGACTACTGCAGCCTTGTTTGAGATAATTGTAGTGATTATTTAATTGACAAACTTCAAAAACTGCAAAACAGAGCGGCACGTGTAATCACTGGCAGAACATACGAAACAAGATCACGCGATGTTTTAAAAGAACTACATTGGCAACCCTTGAAAGAACGCCTTAAGCACAAAAAACTATTTTTTATGCATAAGGTAAGGAATAATGAACTGCCAATTAGTATGATGAATATGTTTGATATTAAAACAAACCTCTTCGGCCTGGAATAATTTGCCTCTTGAGGCTAAAGGTTCAGGAATTACTAGTCAGAAATTCAAGTCCATTCTTGATCATTATTCCTCGCGTTAAAGTGTATGCACTTAACCTAAATTTAAGTAGTGCATTCGTTTGTAAGGGGGAGGGGGGGGGGGAGGCGGTAGGGTTAATCGTCTTATATTGTTATATATGCATGCCTGTAGTTCTACTTATCTGTATTGTACTGTATATTTATATTATGTAATATTTTTAACCAAACGGCCTCTTGAAAAACAGGTGCTTAAGTGCCCTGAAGAGCTACCGTTTCCAAATATGATTAAATATTAATAATAATAATAATATATAAATCTATATATATTTGAATATGTCCAAAGTCAAAATAGATTTTTCTGCTCATATTAATATTTTGTTGGCATCTCACTCAATTTAATGGTTGACAGTTTTGTAGATTGAAATGATTGAGTGGAAAAATGCTATATACAATTATTAGACAGGAATCAAACCTGTGGCCCTGTGATTCCGGTGTCACAGCGGATTTGGACTCCCCGCGAATATGAACCCCCCGGTACATATCCGCTAGCGGATTCAGACACCTACGGTACATATCCGCTAGCTGATATGTACCGCCTTCCGCGAAATTGGACCCCCTAAAATTCACAGAAAGAAGAAATTTTTCGATTTAAGAATTAATTATACGAGTAGTGGTGGACTATCTATGATGAAATTATAGATAATATACATATTCTCGAGATCAAAATAACCAGCTTCGCCTAGAAATCTAACGATACTAAAGTAATCCCAAACTGGGATCAAACATTTACGAAAGGTTTGCACAATATTTATTAGCTAATAACAATATAATAACAAATTTATTAACAATATATAGCATGTGATTAGCATGAAAGTCTCAACGTTCATTTAAAGTTTCAAGCGTTTTGTGCTGGGTGATGGAAGTTCACATTCTCTGCAGAGTCACTCGCCTTCAGGTTCGTTCTCAGTACATGTTCACAAATCATGTGAAACCAGTTGTCACACAATTCACATTGGTAGAGCAGATAGCAATTCCAAGGAGTAAAATACTTGTGAAGGCTTCATGCACTTCCCGCACATTCCAAAATCATAGAAATAAACCCATGTTGCAGAAAAATTATAAATCATAAACTTTGACGGAATTCTTTAATCTAAAAATCTAAGCTTTGATGGAATTTTTTAATCTAAAAATCTTCGTACTGTTTTTTACATTACGATACAATGATAAAATACGCGAGGGGTCCAAATTCGTGAGGGGGGTCCAAATCCGCTAGCGAATAAAGCCCCCCATAGGCCCATATTCGCTAGCGGATATGGACTCCCCGGTCCATATTCGCTAGCGGATTTGGACCAGGGGGTCCATTTTGAGAGGGGTCCAAATCTGCTGGGACACCTGGGCAGCGCTCTAACCAACTGAGCTGAAAGAGGCCAGTTGCTGAGCTCTAGCCACAATTTCACAATTTCATGTAATAAACCTGGTTTACTTCATAAGATTTTATTCACTACTCGTATGACAACCAATGCTTGCCACACTCATCAGGTGAATTTAAAATCAATTTGTTGGCATCTCACTCAAATTAATGGTTCAGGAATTGAACCTGCGGAAAAGTTTCCCAAGAGAAGCCGAGGCAGTACTGGATATTTTATCAATTTGAATACTTGACATATAATATATATTATAAGGATTTTTCTCATCCATGTATTACTGCAGAAGATATTTTTTTTAAATTTTTGAGTAAATAATCAATTATGGCTATCTACAAATTTGGTTTTAGCTTTTTCACATATCTTTTTTAAAAAAACGATTTAATTTATTTTTAAAGGTTTTGCCACGTTAATGGGTTAATCCTCTTGTTCACATGTAGTTATTATTTTATAGGATTTGAATCCAATTGAAAATATATGGGCAAACCTCAAGCATTACTTAAGAAAGTTAGCAAAGCCCAAAAATAAGGAAGAGCTTATATATCAATGGAATAAAGGCATACTGGAGAGAACTGACCAAAGACACATGTCAAAAATATATTAAACATTTGTATAAAGTTGTACCAGCGGTTATTGCATGCGAAGGTGGTCCTTCTGGTTATTAAATAATAATTTGTGTCTTTATACTAAAAAAAACATCTTGTTGTACTGTCGATTTATCCGACCTTTTTATGGCAGAATAATTTAGTGTGAGTAGAAATTATCACCTTGTAATCCTTGCAATTTTATCAGGGTTTAGGGCTTTTTAGGCAATATTTTTTCCAATATAATACCAAATTGAATGGCCCTGTGAATATATTTGGAACACTGACAATCACAACATTTAACCCATTGAGTTGCATTGCGCCCTGATGCGCCCTACTTTATTATTTTACTCTGTCTAACGCCAGATTATTTTACTCTGTCTAACGCCAGACGATTTTACTCGTCAAGGGGAGAGCGCTGGCGCTTAATGAGTTAACTGGCCTATCTGCCCATGTGTCTAGTTAACCCATTGAGTTGCATTGCTCCACGATGCGTCCTACTTTATTATTTTATTCTGTCTAACGCCAGACGATTTTACTCGTCAAGGGGAGCGCGCTAGCGCTTAATGGGTTAATACTTATATTAAACAAGGAATTCATGTATACATTGTACTTACCCTTTTTTGAAACTAATTTATTCGAGATAAATTACTATAAAATCGGTTTTAAATTAGGTAAAATTAAATAATTTTATTGCAAGGAATTTTTTTCAAAAATAAGGAAAATTTGAACGGCTGGAAGGAAATTATGTTTTTTGAAAATGGAAGCACTGCTTGAGTATAATAACACAGAGGAGTTAATGTTAGTCTAGGACCTGTATATGAGTTTGTATGCATTTCATTTAGGACAGATAATCTCAACTGTTTTAGGGCAAGTTGACCATGACGGTCAACATGGTAACGCTGCCCGAACCCCAATCCGGGACGAAACGTCCGAAACTGACCACACCCAAAAACGACGCTTTCGCCACACTGCTATCTACCAAACCATAAAAGCTTTGGCTATTCTGAGGTGCTTACATGGTTCAGAGATGGTACTATTGGGGGTGGTCATTGGTAAGTGTGAAATGCCTAGCACTAATATTTCATATGAAAATGGCCATGCAATAATCATAGTTAAACGTCAATTTGTGGCTTGCAAATTCAGATAAACAGCAGTGGACTTACATTACCTTTTTCCTTAAATCTTTTTGATAGAAACATAAATGGTACTTATTTAAATATATTATCACTGGTTTGGTGTAAAATAGTTAATATTTTCTGTCCGAAATAATAATTTGAAATGTGCCTACCTCCTGCAAATGGACGTATTTGGCCAAGTTCTCCACTTTACTCCGCTGTTTATCGGCGATCTCGTCGATATCCTACAAAAAATGTAAATCATCTCAGACATAATGGTATCAAGAACATTTTAAACAAGTTTCAACTTGGTTTCAAATAGATCATACCTGT